CATTATTGAAGATGGTTTCTTTTCACCTGCCTGCAGACATTCATCACACCACCTTTCCCCTCTGCCACCCGCCTTTGCTTTGAGTCGTTTATCCCATTTCCAAGTCATTCTCTGTCTGGCATCTACCTAAATACAACCACACGGCGGAGGGAGGTAGCATCTGTATTAACAATCTCCCCTCATCAATCACTTGGGGGAGAGTTACTTCTTTGCAATCTAAACTTGAAATCCCGTACCCTCTGGGGGGCAGTGTGTGGGCAGGGACACTAAGGTTTAAAAAAAAAATGGGGAACCAGATCGAAAGAAACCCCTAGGGCATAATCTCCCTAATTACACTTTTGCCATTTTTCCTGGAGACTGGTAGTTCCAGGAGCCCCTTTCTTTGTGTGTATATAGCCAAAATGAGTTTTAAGCTGTGAAGGGAGCAACCTAATCAATTTCCTTGGCCTGTGCCTTTTAGAATCCAATATAGCATAGATACAGGACAGTGATAATGATTTGACACTCGCCGCACGTCTGGGGGCTACACAGCGCTGGTGAAAAAATGTCACGCCCAAATGAATACTGTTGGCCTCTGGTTCCAGCACGACACCAAGAAAACATTGCAGTATTATGAGAATTCCTGTTCCTTCTGTCAATACGTTCAAGATGGTTCTTACTTCTGAGCAGGTATCGATTGTGTATAGGTTAGCCCCCTCCCCGCCCCCGCAGCACCATTTGTCATTTCTGATATAATATCGTGTTATCGTTTAAAGCTGTAATGGGAGAGGTGTCTGTGTTTAAAGCAAACCGGTGTCTCGAGCTTTGATAAATGGCTAGATGGTCTTTGTTTCTGCAGCAGTGAGCAGTTGGCTTGCTATTTGCTTTACCTTTTATCCAAGAATAACTGTGTGAGGAGTTCTGGAAGCGAGCAGTATCATTTTGTTAGATGCGGTCCGTGGCTAGCCGGGTGGTCCTAGCAGAACAGCTGCGGGATTTTAGCACCCGACAGGATGTTAGCAGAGGGCCTGTGTAAATCTGAAACAAGTCAAGCTCCACATGGCTGCGTTTGGTTGAAAAGTTCTCAGTCCTGTTTTTTTAAGGTGAGAGGACAGGAAATGCTGATGGGAAAAAATATATATATGTGCTTGAGATAATAATTTTATTCAGATGGAACATTTCTGAGAAAGAGTGATCTGAGGGGAAAGTGTGGTGCTATCGCCAGGGAAAATGGGAAATCGGTAATGTGAGGCTGTCTCTAACATATGCATATCGTCCATCTCCAAAAGTGTCACTCAGCCAGCTCCTGCTACCCCTAGACCACCCGCCTCCCGGTAACATGGCTCGCTCTCCCCATATATCATTAGAACTCTCGGAAATGTGGTACGAAGCAAGTCTAGAAGACTTTCTGTGCCTGTACCTGAAGGTATTCGTGGGTTGCAATCGTGACACTTAATTCATCAGAACAGGCAGTTTGTCAGGACAAATAGCAGTAGTTTTGGGCCCACAGTTCCCTTCTCAAAATTCATGAAAACCAAAATGCTCCCACAATTCGAATGCAACTTTGCATGGCGGCAATGACTATCATTTCTCTCTGCCTTCTTTAACGGGGAGGGGAGGGCCAGCCATGTATCATTGCATACGTGGCACAATATGCCTGTCCCGCCAGCTCTACATCTGAGGGGACTTTTGGAGAAGGACCTGACAGGAATCTGCTCCTAACTGGGAGCCAATCAAGCTATTTTCAGAAAAGTTCACTAGGTTTTCAATGTTCGGCGTAAATTCTACGCTGGACTAGAGATACAAGGCAATGCTAAGAAACCTTGTTTCCTGGAGTCTGCCCTTCACGTTGATTTCTCCAGGACAGAGTAGCTTTTTGGTGGTGGGTCCATACTCTCTCAACAGTGCCTTTTTAAATTAATGAAATGCACTTGCTACGCAATGGAGAGGGTTTGTAGAATACACAAGGGCTATGAGACAGAGTAAATGTCCACAAGCCTTGTTAGGATTTTGTGCTAGTCCATAGAAGAAATAGGTCCAAATAGGTATATAATTAAATATGTATGTCTAGATCCATCATAGACACACAGATACATATAAATACCTATTAATAAACATTCATACTCTCATAAATTCAGTATATCCAGAAACCAATTGCCTAAGTTATAAGAACTTAAGTTGCCTATATATATAAGGTTCCTATACACATAGGAACCTGATTAGCAACGACCTTTATGTATTAATATTTTTAAATTCTATGCCTACTGTATACCAGACATATATGTACATTGGTGCATTTCCTCCTGATAACATTTCTATAAGGAAATGTTGTTATCCCCATTTTTCAGATGATAGAGATGAGGTTAGAAAGAGCTGACATTCTTTCCTCAAAAGCACACAGCTCAGAAGTAGCAGATTCTTTCCTAATGCCATTTTTAATAAGTCACACAAGGATTTGCATAGCATTTATTTATTGTACATGTTCGGAATTATGACAAGGTGTACAAATATAAGGAGAAAAACTTCCCCCTGATATTCTAAATTCAGAACTTGGCAGAGTTCTAGAGAAAAAAATTTCTATCCTTTTTCATGAGCTTTCCAGAGCAAAGAAATCCACGCCTTCGAATGCCTGTTCCATTAAGCCAGAATAATACACAAATAGCTGCAAGAGGCAGGTAGATGACATGAGTTGAATGGAGGTCAGACCATAAAGTAGTGCAGACGATGGTGAACTCCAGGGCACACATTTCAGCTGAAAGGGAAACTCTGCTCGGCTCCATGCCAGAATATGGACTCAGTGGTATCAGATCACCTGATTTTTCTATTTGCTTGTTTTGAGAGAAAATACTCTGTAAAAATTTGAATAACCATACCTCACATGGTTGTTATAAGAATTAACTACATGATTATTGGTAAAATAATCATGTAGAACAAATCCATAAAGTGTTTGGAACAATGCCTGGCACATTATAAGCACTATATTCGGACCATATATTACTATCCTCATCCTCATGATCTTTTCCCACAACTAGAGTGTAAGAGCCATGTGGGCAGGGTTGCTGTCTCTCTTCTTCAGCTCTGTATCCTTGGTATGCAATGTAAAGCAACTGCTCAGGAAATATTTACAGAATAAATGAATGATAGAAAGTAAAGTAAAATAAAATGCACTTGTCCCTGCTGATTAATTCTTAAATGTCTGGGCCAGGCACGATGACTTATGCCTGTAATCCCAGCACTTTGGGAGGCCGAGGTGGGCAGATTGCTTGAGCTTGGGAGTTCAAGACCAGCCTGAGCAACATGGTGAAACCTCATCTCTACAAAAAAGTACAAAAATTAACTGAGGGTGGTGGCGCATGCTTGTAGTCCCGTCTACTCAGGAGGCTAAGGTGGGAGGATCACCTGAGCCAGGGCAGGTTGAGGCTGCAGTGAGCCATGATGATCATGCCACTGTACTTCAGCCTGGGTGACAGAGCAAGATCCTGTATCAAAAAATTATACACACACACACACACACACACATTTATATATATATATGGGGGGTGTATTATATATTATTAAATGTCCGTATCTTTTTGTGTATCCCTATCTGTGTTTCTGTGTGTTTAGGTCTCTCTTTCTCTGTCTCATTAAATTAAAATAAGGATGAGGATAGATTACCAGGCAAGCTGGCAAAATGGCTAAGTAGGTTGTCCAACCAGTTGTTTCCTTGTGAACTGATACCTGAATAATAATGCCCCACTTGAACCACACAGCCCCCCACTAATGACTTACACCAAGGGGGTTCAAAGGCAGGAAGTGGCAGCAGCAGCAGCAATACCACTCTAGTGGTACTAACGATGCAGGGTGAGGGTGCCTCTTGCTCCTGGGCAGAATGGAAAATGGAGAAGAAAGCCCCATTTGGTGTGCGGAGGTGCCGTTTTCAACAAAGAAATCCTGCCATTCCAAACTGTCGAGACCTTTAAAAATAAAAGATGTGCTGTATTTCCAGTGCTATTCAGTATTCATGAGGCTTCGCAGCTTGTTGTAAGGCAAGATGAAAACAATACTCAGTAGATTTTCATAAGTGACATGTAACTGTAAGATTGATAGATGATGCAGTTTTAATGTATGTGAAGTTCAAAACCAACATAAAAGCTTTGAGGTAGCTTAACGCCAGATTTCAAACCCACATTTCTTCCAGTGATGAGCCCTCAACTTTCCCCAACTCTCCTGCATCTATAAAACAAAAAATGGGCATCACCCTAGCAGGGGCAGGATTTCTACTGAGCCTCCAAGGACAAAGGTTGGGATGTTTCCATGGGTGTAGCAGGGATCCTTGGGTACATTTTTTTCTGTCAGATGAATGTGATAAATCATGAATGGTTAAATATCACTATTTACTTCTGCTAATGAACGCTAAAGAAAAAACAAAAGATTGACCTTCCTGATGGTTCAGGAAGCACAGAAGATTAGCTACATTGCCAGTCATTTCCCAAAAAGTCCTTGCTGTATAGTTCATAGTTTGTTGGCCACTCTGGTTTTGTATGTATTATCGAAATACACACATGTATACATACCCATATGTGTGTATGTGTGTGTGTATATATATTATATATTGTATTATACATGTAGTATATTTATCTATGCAGCTAAATATATATATTATTCATAACTATGCATTATATAGTGAATGTAGGGTGTTATGAGTTTGCATGGTCAGCCTCAGTTAAGCAATGTTTCTTTCTACCCCATTCCATGAATATCCATTATATATAACATTAATAAAATGTTACAAAGAGTTAAACTACTGGCCTGACATGGCGGCCTTCGCTTGTGGTCCTAGCACTTTGAAAGGCCCAGGCAGGTGGATCGCTTGGGGCCAGGAGTTTGAGAACAGCCTGGAGAACATGGTGAAGCTGTCTCTACTAAAATTAGAAAAATTAGCTGAGAGCGGTGGCATGTGGCTATAGTCTCAGCTACTTAGGAGGCTGAGGTGGGAGAATCACTTGAACCCAAGAGGCAGAGGCTGCAGTGAGCCAAGATTGCACCACTGCACCCCAGCCTGGGTGACAGAGCAAGACTCTGCCTGAAAAAAAAAAAAAAGAGTTAAACTACACATCTTCACTTTGGAACCCTTCTTTCCTTTTGTCTTACCACTTGTTCCCCAGCACTGATTGAATACTAAGACCTGTCAAGTACCGAACAGAAAGTACCGTAAGAAAATCTGACATAGACACAAAGAGATGACACATGTTAAATAAAAATACACATACATGCCAGCAGGCATACATACACATGTGATTGTTTCTACATTGATGAGTCTTCCTTCTTTCTTTTCATTTATTCGTTCTTAGTCTTTTTTGGAGGACAGTGCTGGGATCATCTCTTTTTATTTTGCTTTGGTTCCAGTCTAGTTAACTCAAAATGCATAGGGTTAGAAAAAATAAATTACATTTTAAAAATCACAATAGCAGTGAACATTTTATAACATCCAGTGCTTGAAGTATGTGCAAAACAATCTTACAAGTTGATAATATTGTTAGCTTGGTTTTATGAACAGGGAAACGGAGGCTCAGAATGGTTGATCAACTTGCAGAAAGTCACACAGCTAATAAGCGCAAGAGGTTGCTTTTTCACTGTACGTGTTAAATAGACATCAGCAAGATGCAGTGCCTGAGCAACATCATGGACAGTTTTGAGATCCACACTGTTCTAACCCTTCTCTGGCTCAAAAAAAAAAAAAATTGCTGGTATATGTCAGACAAGGCTTCCAAAGGACAGGGACCACCTTTTTTGTGTCTTACATTATCAGTTTCTAACACAGGGCCTGGCACAGAGCAAAAGCTTAGTAAATGTAAAATGAAAAAGAAAGGGAGAAAGAGGTACGGTGGTGAATCCCTGGTGGTAATTTGGGAGCTGGAAAACAAGATCTTTCCAATTTTAAGGTGAGCACAAAAGCAAGGACAATTTGGCGTTAAAAAAAAAAAAAAAAAAAAAAAAAAATTCAACAAATTGGTCTAGGAATTGGTTGCCCAGAGAAAGAAACCGGGCAGAATTTAAGGACCAGGACAGAAGGGCTCTCCTGGGTATCTCCTGACAGAAGATGGGAAAAGGAAAATATACAAGGCAAAGTGATTTATCCTGAGGTCTGCAGCTTGCCATTGGCAAAGCTGGAATCTGAAGAAAGCCTGGGTCTTTCTCCTACAACTGGAGCTCATATCTCCTGATTTTCCTAATTGGGCAATTTTCCAAACTTTTCATTGTTTTGGCTGGATCCTGCTGAGAAAGATGATTTTTCTCAAGGCTGGAATAAAAGATTCCTCAGGTTGAGATAAGAGAGGGTCTAAGCCAGGGATACTAAGGTGTCATTGAGTTCAAAGTAGGAATCGTCTATAATCTTTGCCCGAGGGCGGAGTGGCTGTGCCAGCAGGTAAACACCATGGTGAGGATATACAGAGTGCTCTTATTCACTGTACTTGTCCAGGGATTGTGTGGAAGCTCCCAAAACAGAGTATGGGAACCACCTACCTGCATCATCTGCATAAAACCATGAAGAACGTTCTTCCTTGGAGCAAAGGGTTTTAAAAATAGGTTTAAAAGAAAAGAAAAGAAAAGCACTGCCTCTGGTTTCCTGTATTCAGAAAAGGATCTCATATCAACTCCTAGAGATTCAGCGAAAAATAACAAAATGTTTCCAGTCTATTGTTTCCCACCCTCTTTGTCCTGTTCCCTTCCCCTGGGCTGACAACTACTCCAGACACATTGCGGTTCGCAATCCTGTGAAGTCAAGAGCAAGTGTTCTTAGGGGCTCTGCACCCAGGCAGTGGCTGTTGTCATCAACTCGTTAGGCACTGCCTTTGGCCCCCCAACACACCCCGTTTTGTAACATTCATCCTATTTGTTCTCTCTTTTGTATGCTGTCTCCCTGTGACATTATAATGTAATTGACAACTGGGCCAGATCTGTCTCGTTCATCACTGTTCCCCAAATCTAACCACAAAGGTGCCTAGAACGCAGCTGATGTTAAATCACTATTTTTTCAATGAGTTGAATCTATTCAGGTACTCATACTTTCTTTTCAGCGCTCCTACCACAGAAATGGTCCACAGCCTAGTAGATGCTCTGTGCATATCTATTGAATAACAGAGGAAGCACATCAGAAATTGCCACCGCCACCCACTGTAAAAAAGCAGGTCTCTTCTTGAGCAAAGAGGAAACCTATGTTGAGTTGACAGTAAGAGAGAGATCCGCCTTCCTCCTTGAACCTGAGGAAGAGGGAATCAGTTTCTCTAGTATTCCAGGTAAAAGACAGTGGACAATGGGCAGGTTCTCATCTCCCTGCTACTCAGTGCTCAGACTTTGGAACACAAGTTGTTTTGCTTGACCTATGTGTGTCTTTTGACCACCTCTGATGATTTATTTATCTGATTTGAGTGCCTTCCTGATGGAAAACACAGTCTGTTGGATGACAGTTCACTGATTCTCTCTTGATGTCCATTATCTCTAGTGATGGCCTTCCATGAGCACAATGGCAGGATTCTTGCCCAGTACCCCAAACTCTTCTGTTTTGTTTTGTTGATATGTTTCTTTTGTTTTGTTGGGAGCCTGCTATTGCTTACATAGAATGTCTTCTGCCCGTGGTAACGACCTTCTTGAAAGAGGCTCAAACCCTGATTTGTAATCTCAAAGAGCAGCCTCCCAAGAGGTAGGATCTCCCCACGGAGGTGAATACCTCGAGTTGGCTTTTTTAAATTAAGGCTCCACATTGTAACTAGTCAATGTACATTATTGGGAGAGTGAATGTCAATGCCACTGCGTTTTCTTTCTCTCCTTTATCTTTGTCAGTGATTCAAAGACATGATTTATGGTTAGTCTCCGACTTTCAGCATCATCCATCAAGTCCTGGTTTCACCACAGGGCTCCACGTTGTAAATCATGCCGAAGGGTTGTCACTCATTCCCCTTAACCCTTTAGAGGTGTGTTTCAGGGTCGTTCTCCAAGAAGGAAACTTTGTAAGATGGCAGTTGAGGAGGCTTGGACAGTTAATGGGGACTCATTATTAAATCAGTGGCGTTAATTACTTCACCTAATGTGATAATTATTAAAGCCTGGGTAAGGCCTGGGTCAGCTCCACCCAGCCCAGACAGGATGAGAAACTCACTCCTGGTGACTTGAGAAACTCACAGATTCCTGAACCAGCCCTACTCTGTTTTGAAATGTCCATTATGGATATGTAGTGCTGAGTTTCATTTTGGAATCAATCACAGGCTAGTTCTGATTGTGACCTTGCAAAGATTATAGAATGAGTGCAAAGACCCATTAGCAGCTGCTATTTCAGGCTTTGTAAATTACCAGTCCTCTCCTCCTCCCACACTTTTTTTATGTCTCTATCACTCTGTGGCTCTCTGTTCGTTTGTCACATTTGGGAAGGTGGGGATTGGTGGCAATGGGTGAGGCTGAAGACTGAAACTTGCAGGCAGAGGAGCAGGACTTTTTGCAGAGCCAGATCTCCCCTTCTGGCTGGTTCCAGTCACCCAGGATCAAGCCTTTGAGACATGGGACACCTGGTAGAAGCAAAGTCCAGGTAACTGGCATTGAACAAACAGGGGTGCTTGCCTACCAGAAGTCTGCAACTAGTAATCACAGGTCATTAATGAAAATAAATATGCTTGGAATCTATTTGTTCAAAGTCTGCATTTGGTTGAAAGCGATTTTATTCCTGAATTATGCATAGCTCTGTTTTGCCATGGTAAGCTGATGAAAACAACAACTATATTGATGAAACACATATAGGTAAATAAGGTGAAAGGTTGTAAAATATGAACGTTCATCATCCAAACTGTGTCTCCCCTCCCTTTTCATAAGAACTCCTCCATGGCCGGGTGGGGTGGCTCAAGCCTGTAATCCCAGCACTTTGGGAGGCCGAGGCGGGTGGATCACGAGGTCAAGAGATCGAGACCATCCTGGTCAACATGGCGAAACCCCGTCTCTACTAAAAATACAAAACATTAGCTGGGCATGGTGGCACGTGCCTGTAATCCCAGCTACTTAGGAGGCTGAGGCAGGAGAACTGCCTGAACCCAGGAGACGGAGGTTGCAGTGAGCCGAGATTGCGCCATTGCACTCCAGCCTGGGTCACAGGAGTGAAACTCCGTCTCAAAAAAAAAAAAAAAAAAAAGGAACTCCTCCTCAGATGGTGCTCGAGGGGCTCAGGGCTTGGGGGTTTTCAAATACAGCTCACAAATGTGCCTGTGGTCTTCATTTTTCCAAAAAATAGCAGTTATTTAGTCTTCAAGGGTTAAGGCAACTCCGTTCCTCCTTTTACTAGGACAGTGACCCTGACGGGTCCCCTCTTTACACGCCTTTCTCACTTTCCAGCATACAAAATGGCTAGTCTTAGGATTTTATCTTTCTTGGAAAGAGCACAAGGATCTTTTCAAACTTTAAATGACCCAGAGCCATGAATCCTCCTAACAGCCTTGGAAGGCAGGTAAACTGTTGCGGAACTAGTATTTCACGGAGAAGCCCTTCTCTCTTCTGCCCTCCCTCCTGCTCAGAAATCAGATTTATATGGTATACACAGTGTCTGCAGACCTAACTACAGGTGACTTAGAAATGGAGAGTCTGCAGATTAATGTGCCCATTCAGGATGATGTATTCTATTTTTTTGTGCTTAGAGCAGCATGGATGGCTCGTTGGGAAGGCATAACAAGGGGGCCAGTCGGCTTCTGTGTCCCAGCCTATCACAGAAAGGGTTTCTGCTGGGTTTCTGTTGTGAAGTCAGCTACTGACTGCCATTTGAATTCCATCAATACGATGTCTTCTGTTTATGCCATATGGATTTCGTTATGCCTCTGATCAAAAGAATTTTCTAGGCACTGACAATAAGGAAGCAAGTTGTTCAGCTCATGGGATTAATAGAAGACAACTTTGAGAGTCCCTTTCCCGCTCAGTGAGCAAGAGGAATTCTCCCTTCTCAATATTGTCTGTCCCTAGAATAATTGTAAATTTCTACAAATCTTGTTCCGGCCAAGAGACAACATCCCGCAGGCATCAAGAATCCACTGCTTAAAAAAAAAAAAAAAAAAAAAAAATGTGCTTTCAACAAATTAGAATACGCCACCTAGTGAAGTTATTAATTAGCATGGCACCTCGGATATAAAGCTGGGAGGCCTGATGGCAGTCAGCTAACCTTGACCTCTTACTTGAAGGAACCCAGAATTACAGGAAGGACCCTGGAAAGAAAAAGAAAATGTAATTAAATTAAAATAGTCCTGCTCTCTCTGTCTGAACCTAGCCCATTACTATGATACCTTGTTTCATGATGTCTGGTCGGAAACACTTAGAATGGTGAATTACCCACCTTTTAAAAATAGGCAGACAAAAAAAATATATATGATCTCATTCACAAAACGTGTAGGTCAGTGTTTTCTGGTTAGAATTCTGCCGAGAATTTCAGGCATTTCTAAGGTATTCAACACCAAATGGTGCAAGGCTTTGCAGACCTGTATTTGGTGAGGCATATTTGCCAGATCTGCCATAGTGGCAAATTTAAATAAATTGTCCAGATTCATACACAGTAATCCACTGGCTGGAAGCCAGGAATATGCAGTACAGCCTCAGCTTCCCTATGTCCAATTTCCCCTGGGACTTCCTTTTTAACACAGAAAATTCTGAGGTGTATGTGTCTAAACACAGAAGTTGTATTCCTCCTTCCCACCTTCTCTCTCCGTAATGGGTAATTTTTCCTCCCGTCAGCCCCATCCTCATTTTCATTTTGTCAAATAACAGTGTGACTTTGTCTTTGACATTAAACAGTTGTATATACTTTTAGCAGTTGTTTACTCCATCTGTATTTCCAATCAGTGAAGAAGGTTTACCAAAGCGGTTCATTACTGATTTATTTATGATGTATTTAGATAGCAAATATGGAACTGTCAGCAGTTGCTGGCTAAACAGTGTTGACAGACATTAATAACATATGGTATAGCAATGGAATTATGATCTTTAATTTTTTTTTTTAATTTTGATTTTCAACATGCTATTTTGTGTTTTGCATTTCTTAGGTAGGTGTGTGCAAAGGAAAAGACTTTTAACGAAACTGTTTTCTTTTTATTCGTAACCTTTGGGGTTTCCTGGTGGTGACATTAACATCTTCTGTGTCTACTTAGCTGTTCAATTTAATGGAAGACAAATCCTCCCAAAGGTTTAATTTACTCTTGCAAACTGAAATCACCATATTCACACTGTGGGAAATGGCCCTAATTTTCCCAACCTTCAGTCGCCATCAAGCATATAATTTATTTCTCCCCCTTCAATACATTCCTCATTAGAAAACAAAGTTTTTGATATTTAAATGTTACCAAGTTCAAATGGAGGAACTGAGTCTCCCATTTCTGCAAAATGCTGTTGCAGGCATAGCTGCTCCTACCTGACAGCCACCCATTTATACTGGGCCAGAACAGACAAACATTTGAATTTCTGACCTTTAATTGGTTGTTCCTTTGAGCTTACATGGTTTTCTCCAGCACCAAGGGAGGAAATTTTTCAGCTCATCTCAAAGGAAAAATAACAAGTAGACCCAGGTAGCAGTAAAATTCAGCCCATCTGGTTTAAAGTGAGTAAGGGCATTTTAGCCAGAAGATGACCCGACAGGCAATAAAGTTTCTCTTTGGCCAAGAATTCTTCCATGGTTCTGTAAAGGTGATCTTGCTTTCCAGAATCCAATTCTTTCCCTTGAAAATATCTAAAGGACGTGAGAGTTAATATTAAGAAAAAATAGGAGTCTTCTAGAGCAGGGAACGTCTGTGTTGGGGATCCATTGAGAATTTGATAAAAGCTAACACTTTGTCACTCGACATACACACTCAAAATACACATTACCTGTAATTTCAGGGCTCTGGCATCCTGGGAAGCCCATCCAATGTCTCTGGAGCCCAGTTAAGAATCAGTAATCGTTCAGGTCATTACAGCATTTTTATGTGTGAAGTACAAGAACTTGCCTTCATTTTCTAAGGTTAGAGTGGGGAAGAGATGGCTCATGTGCCGCATGAACTGAGTACCTTTGGAAGCTCTTTTAGTGTTTGATAAACATTATCGCACTGGATCCTCAAGGCACCCTAGGAAGTAGGTAAAGTCTTGTTCCCATTTTGCAGATAGGGAAATTGAGGGGTAATGAAATTGAAATTGAAGCCACATAGCTGATAAGTAAAGGAACCACAAGTCAAATCTCAACACTCATTCCTGAGCCAAGTCAAATGGGAAAGTTTACATCTTAAAATGAAAGATGTAAGTTAACTTATAAGTTTTTACCTTCTTGATTTTTTACTATTTGGCAAAGAATATTGGAAACTATCCCTTTCAAATAACTAACCACAGAGGAGCTCCAAGACTTGTACTGAGTTAAACAGTTAGAGGCTGAACCAGAGCTGGCTTATTTTGTCTTGTGATTCAGCTTTGATAATCAATGCCATACCATGTCCTTGGTCATGTTAAGGCGTGAACTTAAACATATTGGTGGCTAGTTTTGAAATGTATCCAATAGTTTGAGAATATTAATGGCACTAGAAAATAAGGATCAGTCCTAATTGTCCTAATCCTAATTCCTTCACTGTTGAAACTCACAAGAAATCATAAGGTACCCCGACTAGAGCACACACTTCCTCAGATCTCTATTGGAATCCCACCTCTGATGCCCACTGTGTGATATTAGGCAGGCCCGAGCACCCATCTGAGTGTTGCTGTTTTCCCACGTAAATGACTTAAATAAAGGATTCTATACAAAGCCATCATTACAGAGCCTGACATGGAGCCAACATTCATTAAATGTTGGTTTGTAGACTTACGTTTGTTACAAATGTATTTAGAACTAAAATCAAAACACATGGCTGGGCACAGTGGCTCATTCCTATAATCCCAGCACTTTGGGAGGCCGATGCAGGTGGATTGCTTGAGGTCAGGAGTTTGAGACCAGCCTGGCCAACATGAGAAAACCCTATCTCTACTAAAAATACAGAAAATCAGCTGGGCATGATAGTACATGCCTGTAATGCCAGCTATTCAGGAAGCAGAGGCACGAGAGTTGTTTGAGCCTGGGAGACGGAAGTTGTAGTGAACCAAGATTGTGCCACTACACTCTAGCCTGGGCGACAACGCTAGATTCCATCTCAAAAAAAAAAAAAAATCGAGATACATGAATATTGTCTATTCAGTGCAGACATCTTCAACCATTCCCAGTCTTCAAAGCCAGAGAGAGCAAAACTCTAGTATCACATCCCAACACATCAAACCTCTGCCTTTCCGTTGTCTCTGACATCTGGATCCAGATTTGAAGGGCTCATGTGACTAGGTTAGGCCCCCGCTGGATCATATCCCCATTTTGCAGTGATCTGATTTGTAACCTCAGTTACATCTGAAAAATTCCTCCCCAGCAATGCCAGATTCGTGTTTGTAGAATACCTGGGCAAAGGTGTATGTAGTGTATGTCGGAAACAGGAAGCATGTGAGCCAGGAATCATTTTAGGATTCTGCCCACCACAGCCTCAGTCTCCTAATCTGTCAAGCAGGTATGTGCAGTGGTTTCTA